GGGATGCGACATCGAAGTTTGTGGGCAAGGCTCATGAGCGGCGGTGAAAATCACTTCCACATGCGTGCAGGTGCTGCCTTGCGATGGTCAGGGTGGGATGTGGGAACGGTGGTGCAGCGCCGGCGTGCACATGCGGACAACACAGGGATTGCGGGGGCGGTTAGTGGTGGCCGCGTCCAGGCTGCATGGTATTTGTCGCATCGTAGTTGTAACCTGTGCACAGGCCACAGGTGGGCATCCTCGACCTGAAATTGGTGATTGGTGTGGCTGGAGCTTGGAGGTGATGGTGCGGCTTTGCCATGGCGGCTGGCCGCCGGGGTGTGGTCGTGCACTCGTGCTGGGACTGCTGGTGCCTGGGCGGAGCGCGGCTATATGACGCGAAAGTTGAGGTCCTGCAATCAGACAAGTCGCTGGTGCCAAGATTCATGCACGGAGGCTCTATGTGAGGCTGATCCGTTCCTGTGTGGATCGTGGAGTATGAACAATGGCATGCAAGCAAGTGTCGGCTCCATCTGCATCAGCAGGTTGGTTTGGACAGACATGCATGCCTGCCGACGTGCAAGGTCTACAACAGGTTTCTGTGCCTCATCAGTTCAGAGTTTCGGACACTTCTCGAGCAACATCCTTGCAGCGTGAGTTATGTCCCCATTGGTTCTATTGTAGTTCCATCCATCCGTATTTATGTGAAGCAGGACAATTCTATTTGTTGACTTGAGTCTCTGCAGTTTTACATATTATAATAGTTTCTCTAGAAAATAGACATTTATGATTTCAGGATACTTTGGTAGATTTTTAGCCTTAGAAGGTAGCAACTCTAAAGATCTGTGTTGGGGACAACGGATGCCTTGACGTCATAGTTCATAAGTGCATACGTGACGGCAGACAATGCACATATATCCCCATGTCTCCAGATAAATTTATTTGTGTTTTTCATTCGTAGTGTTGCTGTGGCAGATCAAAACAGCTTCGTTTAACAACTTTTGATGCAAATTACCAATTAGTAGTTCTGAGGTATAAATACAACCACGATTTATGCATTTATGATATATTTCCAATTAATATTTGTGCCCAAACATCCTTTAAATCATCAACCTTCTCTAGCAGTATAGCAGCACTGTAAACCCACATTATAACTTCAATTTTCTAACACAAAGTCTTGCAGGGGCTATTGTACCTATATTTCAAACTCCATGGATTCTAAGCGTTGGAGAATCCCCACAACAACGCGCGGGGTATCATCTAATTATATAGAAATTAGAAAGACACACATGCAGAAGTCCGAGTGCAATGGCTGGCTGTGCAGATGGAACAGATTCGGTTTTTAGACCACCAGTAGAGAACAGACTTTCGGTTTTTGCCTTTAGTCCCGTCCAGAATTTAGCCCGGGAGTAATAGGAGATTTGGTCCCGGTTAGAACCACCAACCAGAACTAGAATCCTCTGTCCAACGGATAGTGCAGCAGGCGTTTGCAGTAAGGACCTTTAGCCCCGGTCTGTGGTTCAAATCGGGACTAAAGGTTGCCTTTCAATCCTGGTTGGAGCCCCCAATCGGGACCAAAGGTCCTGCTGACCTTTAATCCTGGGTTTTGGCTCCAACTGGGACTATAGGTTGATCCTTTAGTCTCGATAGGCTCCACCAACTGGGACTAAAAGTCCCCACTTATATATACCCGCTTCTATTGTCCTCCCAGCCCGAGACACACCGGTCAAATCTTGGTATTTGCTTATTGTTCATCCGTGTTCTTGCTTGAGGGAGCAAGTTCTTACTCTTGGCCACTGGCTTCATCTTCAATCTTCTAAAGGTTAGCAACTTCTTCTTCTAATATTTCGTTGCTAATAATGTAGATCGTTTCATGCTTTAGTAATAAGCATAGAAATATTTAAATATGTGGTTTTTTAGATTAGGAATAATAATGGTGGATTTTATTTTTATTTATACATCATTTCTACATAACCTTAAATATTTATTGTTTTCTAGATCTTTGTTAGCAATATTATTTCTTGATGAGAGTTAATAATTGTTCAACAAAATTATGTGCAAAATGTTTAAGTTTACTTGGCATGCATATATATATATATATATATATATATTGATGATTTATTGGTTATATGTTTCTCTAATATATATTGTTGCATAGCATATTTATATGGGGGTTCTATATTTATTGGGATGTTTTTTCTATTTTTTTAGTTACGATAAATGGCGGCGGACTTCCAGCCACACGAATCAGGTTTTCACCCTGGTGATCTTCCATTCGCGCCATCGCCAGATAGGGCCGTTCCGTGTTACCTAGACCCATCAATAGTATAGAATATTTTAAGTTTTGCGTGCTAATATAATTTTGCATATATACATTCATTTATAATATGATTGTTGCATATGTCACATAACATAAAACCGATCAAGTGGCTGGAAGCAGCACTATGGCTGCTCGGGGTGTGGGACATCTTCGAGATGACGAGAAGTGAGGTTGTGGATGATGAAGGGGCGAGTTATGGACGTGCAGTCTCACCTTCGACATCTCCATTAGGTACAATAATGAGGTGCGCCAGGACATCGTGCAGACTGGACGACAGTCACCGACCAAGATAGGCGCCCAGATCGATGTCGTGCTGCTTTCTTTGTAGGCAATTGAGCGAATTGGCTATCGTATGCCTGATTTCTCGTCCTTGAAGATAGAAGCTTTACGTGAGCACAGTCTGGATGTGCCGCGAGTAAGCGAGAGGCATGCGACATTCAACTATATGGATGTGGTACGTCGTGTATGATATGAGAGTCATGTTTATTTATTCTTATTATTATATGAGCGCTTCCTAAATTTTTTTATTTGTCCGCTTGTAGGTTTTGCTCTATGATTTCACCTATGCTACATGTGGCTTGCAGCCCATTCTCACGTAAGCTCTTAAGCGACTGGGGTACGCCTGGGACTTCGTGGAAGCGATGGGCCAGAGGACGACAGCTGGCATCCACTATTGCGTGAGATTTAGGCAGAACCAGGCCATCAATAGTCCGTCAGTAAGCTACATCTATGGGATGCCATGTCCTCGGTGTTGTGAGGCAATGGAGAGTGTTGTAGTGTGGGCATTGTATTACATAGATAATGACCGTGGTTACACAATCCGAGACATACACTACTGGCAGTGGAAACATACTAGGGTTGCAGCCAGTTTGTAGAATCCATGTGTTAGTTAGGTTTATTCGTACTGTTATGTTTAATCAGGTTTATTCAAACGGTTATGTACTTTAATTAGGTTTCTTTGTATGGATATTTTAATTATGTTTGTATGCAAGTTAATTATGTTTCATTAGGTTTATCTGTTTGGACATCATAATTATGTTTATATGGATTGTAAGGTTCTCTAAGATTTTTGGTCATTTTTTCGTCCGACAAAGTCTTAATCAACATTGTTCATAAATTTACATCTCTCTCTTATAGTTCATTATAAGACTCTCTTATAGTTCACTATAAGAGAGATGTAAATATGTGAACAATGTGCAATGCCACTTTGTTGGATGAAAAAATGACCAAAATAAAAGTTGTAGATCTTGAAAAATTACACAACTTTGTAGTTGATAATTTTTTAATTTGTAATCATTTTGTCAAGGAAAACTATGTTTGAATTTCTAAAATTTGAAATTTTAAAATGTTCTCAAATGGAGAAATGACCAAAACGAAAGCTGTAGATCTCGAAAAATTATGCAACTTTGTAGTTGACAACTTTTTTATTTGAAATTATCTTATCAAAGAAAACTATGTTTGAATTTATGAGATTTGAAATTTGAATTTTTAAATTGTAAGTATAATTTATAGCATATGTTATTAAACATTTAAAGTACGAGACAAAAGCATTATAAATTGTATATGAAAGCAAATTTGTATTGCAAATTTTTAGCTATATTTTTTTACTACGCAATTTCTAATTTTCAGCATATTTATGCTAAAGGACATGTTATAAACTGTTGTATGGGTAGGAAACGAAACTGCCGGGTAGGCAGCAGTTTCGCCGCCAAAATTTGGCTTTAGTCCCGAGTTGTGCCACCAACCGGGACTAAAAGGCCTCTAGTACTGATTGGTGGCCCAACCAGGGACTAAAGGTCAAAACCTTCAGTCCCGGGTTGGGCCTCTAACCGGGACTAGAGATATTTTAGTCCTGGTTGGTGGCCCAACCCAGGACTAAAGGTACCAACCCTACATATACTCGTGTCTTCTCTTCATCTTTCTCCTTTCAAGCGCCACCGGATCCGCGTCGCCACCCCCGCCGTGCACCGCCCGTCCGACCTCGCCCTCTTCTCCGGCTCGCGCGGTGGGTCCTCGTCCTTGTCGTCGGCTCCAGCGCCCACGTCCTCGTCCTCCGTCGGCCGGCCGACGTCCTCGTCCTTGGCAATAAGACTAGATTAGATCATGTGCTTCTTTATAGACGGTGGGCTTAGGTGGATCTCCCTCATCTACCTAGATTAGAGTGCTCTTATCCTAACCTTAGAGCCTAGTTTTTTACGTGAACTCTTGGGCATTATCGCATTCATGATGACTTATGGGCATAACCAGACGAAGTTAAGAGCTACCTATTGTGCATTAGGTTTTCCTCGATCTAATTCGAGTTTCTTTTTATGTAGTGGAAACGCCTTACAATCTTCAGTTTTACGCTTACGCTTAAGGGAAGAAATGTTCTTGGTGGATGCAGGCCTTGGTACCCCAAAAATTTGTATACAAGATGAGCTTACAGGACTGCCAATCAAGCGAGCCACCAGGTTTGAGAATAAGGTGGGATCCAAGAATGTAGTGGCTGGTGAATCACTGATCAAAAATCGGATTTTTGAGAGACCCCCTTTTTCGACGCTTTATTGTTATAGACCGCTCACTACCCCTTTCCTTCTCTATGTAAGACTTAATAAGGAAATACAAAGAATGGAAGAAAGGTCCAAAGCAATTGTTTGTCTTGCATTGCAGCAATCAAACCAAAATCAAGTATGAAAGTTGAAACACTTCTTTTCTTGGTAGCCTAGCTCCGACACGCGTGTGGCTCGCGCCCACTTCTCCAGCGCGCGCGGCGGGCCCTCGTCCTCGTCTCCCAGGTGCGCCCGGCCACGCCCTCGTCCTCGTCCTTTGGCGGCTGGCCGGCCTCGCTCTCGTCCTCGGCTCCGGCGCACGCAGCACCCTTGTCCTCCTCTCCGGTGCGCGGGGCGGCTCCATCGCCCTCCTTGTCTCCGGCAAACACCTTCACATCTTCGACCACGCCCTTATCTCTAGCAGCGCCTTCGTCTCCGGCCTCGACATCGTCTCCGCCAGCGCCTTCTTCGTCTACGGCCTCGACCTTGAGCTTCGTCTGCCACCAGGTGGTAATACTCGTTGCCAACCCCTTGTCATCCCTTTGTGTTGTATGAAACCAGGCTTGGAAAGATGCTGAATTTTGATACATAGGATTTATTGATGTGAATTTTGGTATATATAGACTTATAAAAAAATTGACTTCAGTGATATACATATATGAATTTTGATATATTGACGTGTTATGCATTTTGATATATTAACTTTAGTGATATGAATTTTGATATATAAGGTTTATTGATGCGAATTTTGATATATATTGACATATAAAAAAATTGACTTCAGTGACATACATATATATATGAATTTTGATATATTAACTTTATTGTTTATGCATTTTGGTAAATGATAAATATTGACTACAGTGATTTGAATTTTGATATATAGTGTTTAGTGATGTGAATTTTGATATTTGTAGACTTATGAAAAAAATTGACTTTAGTGATATGCATTTCTGTGTATGAAAAATATTGTTTCCAGTGATATGATTTTTGATATATTGACTTTAGTGAGAAGAGATGGCTGGACGTCGTCTCCCTCCGCCGGAAGTCATAGGTTTCAGTCGCTATGTAACATGGATGGGATTCGATCCAGTGTTGCCGGATGTACTGTTTAATCATCCAAGCATAGTAAGCAACTCTATATGTTTCCAATAAATTAATGTGTCAAATACGCTTGTATAAATATATTTTCTGATATGTATATATATGTGATTCTTAAATGTACTGTAGGTAATTGACCCAATCATTTGGATCAAAGAGACACTCTCAAATTTCGAGGTTCAGGAAGTGGTTGTTCAGACCTTTCATGTAGATAATGGTCCATTAATTCAATGTCGAATTGGCTTTTCCATCGCCGTTAGGAGGGGTAGAGGTGTTGTACAAATCTCATAGATGGAAATAAAGGCACCCCAGCAGACTGTTGCACAAAAATATGCTATCATTGCATGTGTAACTAAGCTTGCGAATATTGGGTACACCCTGCCTACACTATCCTCCGTGCTGATACAAGCTATAAATGCGGACATGCGTCATGATGTTGAGGGCTTTTGTGCAAGCATTGCTCGGAACAACCGAAATGATGTGGTAAAGTCGAAGTCGAACTCATAGCTTATATCTGGATTTGTTGTTATATGTTGCAAAGCTTGGTTGTCGTAACCTTTTTTCTATCAACACTTACAGGTTGAGGACTATGACTTAACCTACAAAGGGTGCAGTTTTGAAGCCATTTTAAACTAGACAATGTATCAATTGAGTTATGATTGGAAATATGCTCATGAATGGCCAACACTCACTACGGAAGGATTTCAGGCAAAGCTGCTTGTGACGAAGAGGGGAAACCCACCGACTTCTCGAGCACCGTTAAACGTCGTTAGTAGACCCTGTGCTCGTAGTTGTGAAGCAAGGGAGAGTGCACTAGTTAATGCGTTGGTCTTCATCAATAATATTTTTGGATACCACATCGGTGACCTACACTTCACTGAATTAAAAATACGAGAAAGTCAACTTCATTAGGTAGTAGTGGTGACATACTATGTTTGCATGAACTTTGGGGAGTACTTGGACATGTAGTGTGTAATGACTTGGTTTAAATTTATTATGATTTGTTTGAAATTTGATTGTGGGATGGATGATCACTGTAATATACAACATCACTTTTAATATGTGCATACAATATTCAATGCAAAGAAACCGTAATAGAAAAGAAAAGAAAAGAAAAGAGAAGACATTCTATCCGAGGTGTAATACGTGGCAGCGCCTGGGGCCCAGTCTAGAGTCGCCTTTACTTCCGGTTGGTATTACCATCCGGGACTAGAAGTCCCAAATCAATCCCGGTTGAGACTTGAGAGGCCCGGGACTAAAGCCGGACCTTTAGTCTCGGATTGACAGTCCCAGAGGGGGTTTCCCAACTGGACTGAAACCCACTCCTGCACTAGTGGACAGAAAATGAATCTTTCGGTAGGTTTAAGGGCTTACTTGATGTGATGTGTTTGCATTACGGGTTGCCCGCCTTCCCTCCGCGGCACAAGCAGCCCAGGAATACCTTGTGTTGGCTATAGGCGCATTGCCCGTACGACTCCTCGCACTGCCGACACCCATCCTCTGTGATACGGCTCCAATCCAACTCGAACCCACGCTTAAGCACGTTTCCGTATCCCGCCGCTTGTGAAGTTGATCTGGTTACTTTCTGCCACTAGAACATCGCCTCTCAGTGGCACGGTGACAACCTTGCTGCAGTTCGTAGCCAATTCGTGCACCAGGTACCTTTCAAGCTCACCAGGCATGAGCACGAAGGAGTCTCCTGGGCCAGCATCTGGAGGACTCTTGAACCCCGCGCATTTGATTTTGAATGTGTAAAAATCAGGTGCCACGGGATCGCGTGGGTCGCAGCCGAAGAAGAAGGTGAGGTTGTCGTTTGAGCTGGTGTTATGCAGCCATGTCTCGTCGAAGCTGACTTGGTGGCAGACTGCGGGGCAATCGCCGCCTCCTAGGAGCACATCGCTGTCCACCAGTGAGATGGTGTGATGGTCGTAGCCGTAGGAGATGCTCTCGACGGTGTAGTCGTCGCCGCCAAGACGGATGGTAGGGGTCCAGGTCTGCCCCTTGAGTTTGCAGGAAATGCTCATGTCGGTGTAGCCGCAAGAGTAGTTCCCGCTGTGATCGGTGGTTGCTTCGGTTGCGCTGGCAAGATAGAACGGGTAGCGGATTTCGACGCCGCCGCACCAGAATGATTCCGAGCACATGGAGATGTCGTAAGTGCTCGGAAGAGGGTCGCCATGGGTGGAGTGGACATAGACGGTGAGGAAGACGAAGAGGAGGACGGGGAGACGTGGTTGGTGAGCAGCCATGGCGGGGAGAAGACGAGGTGGGTTCACGGCTTCACGCTCATCTGGCTGTTTTGTTCGCTCCAATTGGGCACGCGCGCGTTTGGTTTCTCACTTTCTTGTGAGTTGTCAGTTGTGACTTATAGGTCCCGTGGTCTTTGACCGGGTTTCGGCGAAGGCTGGTTAGTGGTGGGCCGGAGATGGTGCAGGTCTGCAGGAGATACTCCAACCAGCAATGTCAGCAATTATTGAGGGGTAGGAAGCGAGACGTAGATGGTGCAGGTCTTGTTTTGGCGGTGTCAGCGGCGTAGGAAGCGCGACGGCAGGGAGGGCAGATGCGAGAGACAATGGGGATCGTCAGGAACGAGGCAAGGTCGGAGCAATTATTGAGGGGCAGCATCCGTCCGCTGTGCACTTTAGTCATTTTTAGACCAGTTTAGGGTCTCTTTGGGAGCAAAAGATTTTAATCTAGTTTTTAGCCATTTATTCACTTTTAGCCCCCCTGTTTGATCCCTTGGCAAAAAAAAAAGACTAAAATGCAGGGCTAAAATTTTGCCCAGGAATCTAAACAGGGCCTTAATTTATCTATACATTACAATCCACGCTTGAAACGACGCAATTTCCTCCTGTGCTCTGTCATGTCCATCTTCCGCATCTGCCCGTCCATCCACACCACTATGGCGCGTCAGTCAGCAAATCCCACCGCAGGCACGTGCTTAGTGTACAAGTACACAGAAGAGAATCAGTGCTTGCAGCGAGTCTCAAGTCTGAACAAAGTACTCTAACACCATCATACAGTGTCGTATGAGCTACGAGCACCCCTGTCCAGAAATTCTTATGTAGTTATTATTACATCTATGTTTACAGGACAGAAATAGCATTTGATGCATGCCTTAGTTCTGCATATTATATAACAAATATTTGCAATTGTACAACCTGGTAACGCTAGCAATATTTATCAGTAGGAAAATATCTATGCTTGTCAGCTCAAGTGAACTTTGGGTGGCAATTCCAGATTACTTGTGCTTCCGTCTAGCAACTCGACGACTCTAGTCATTGTTGGCCGATCAGTCGGAATCACTTGTATGCACCACAAACCAACCACAATCATCTTTCTCACGAGCTCTGTCATCTCACCATTAATCTCAGAAGCACTTATACAGTAGTCATCCAAATGTTCATATAGTCCACCGAGGGAAATATTGACTACTAGATTCACTATTTCCACTTGTATTCCTGTCCCTTGCCCCAACCATCTCAAGGACCATCATTCCATAACTATGTACATCAGACTTGCTACTTATTATTCCGAATTGCTTTGAGTAAACCTCTGGGGCAATATAACCTATTGTCCCTCTTGCACCAGCAATGGAGATAGCAGTCTCTTTATTCAGGCATAGCTTGGCCAATCCAAAGTCAGAGATCTTAGAACAGAAATCCTGATCTAATATAATGTTATGTGGTTTGATGTCAAAATGCACGATTCGAGTATTGCATCCCCGGTGGAGATATTCAAGTCCTCTGGCCATGCCAATTGCTATGTCAAATAATTTCTCCCAACTTAGTGAATTTCCACTATTCATGTTGCTATTGAAGACGTACCTTTCGAGCGAACCATTAGGCATGTACTCGTAAATAAGTGCCCTTTTGGATCCTTGCAAGCAAAATCCTAAAAGTGTCACAACATTGACATGAGAAGTTCTGCTAATACTAGCCACCTCATTCATAAATTCCTCAGCATCACCTTTGGTGTCCTTTAGCATCTTAACCGCTACCTGGCGGCCATCATGGAGGTTGCCTCTATATACAGCACCAAATGCACCTTCGCCTAGCTTCACAGCAAAGGATTTCGTCATTCTTTTAACATCTGCATAAGTGTATCTTTTCGGATGTAGCTTCCCGTTCTTTTGTAGAAATGATTCAACCCTTGCTTCGTCCTTCGACTTGAAGGGCAGCAAACCATCTTTAGAAGCGGAGAAGAATTTGAGAATAACTAGACACGGGAATAGAAGTGACAACGTGCCTGCAACAATACCTGCATCACAAATGAATTCAACTGCAAGGCATTCTAAAAATTCAATTTGCAAAGAAAAAAATGCACCGTTAGTCAGTGTGGAAACTCATCAGATTATTGCCCAAAAGGAGGATGCAATTTATCTATATTCCTGTCATTGGTTAGTGGATTCCAGATACTTTTTTTTTTGAGAATTATGGATTCTAAAACATGTCATGCCAATAATTCATTATATACTTTTCTTCTGCTCTTTTAGACTAAATGAAGATGGGTACTGACTATAGGCTGCGTAGTGCTTACCAGCAATAATTGGTGTTTTCCGTTTTGATCCTGTATGCCAACAAACAAAACGCAATGTCAGATTTGAGCAGGATTAAACTAATTCATGTCAAACAGAAACACAAAGCACAAATGTATTACAAAAGATAATTTCAGTTTGACTAGATTAATAGAAAAGAATATCAATGTTTGTATCTTCAAATAGTAGGCTTACATAAAAAATATATTCGAGGATTAATCTAGTGATAATTATTAGGCTCCGTTTGGTAGGGGCTCCTCTTCGGCTCCGACTCTGGCTCCTCCGAAGGAGTCCTACCAAACAGTTTAGCAGGAGTAGTTTGGAGCTGTTTTTCAGTGAAAAAAATAGGAGCTGGAGCTGTTTTAAAGGAGCCATAAATTATGATTCATCTAAAACGGCTCCGCCGGGAGGAGCCCTCTCAAATACACTCTTATCACGCATCATAAATAGTTTTTTTATATCAGCATGATCCGAACAGCTTGATGTAACAGTGCTGCGACTGCTATTGCAACAACCTTACCTACACCTACTGTTGTTTGTAGTAGAAAATAAATAGCAACAGCCGCCACAACTGAGCAGACCATATATATTTTGTCAAATTTGAATTTGTCTGACTCATCGGCAAGCGACATTTTTCTTCTTTTTAGAAAAGGGAGTACTTAATGAGATAGGTGGGCCCACAAGTTTTACTTAATTTTACCTTGGAATCGGCTATATGCTCATTGAGATCAATTTCCTTCATAATTGAGGTTCCTTGCAGTGGCCTTGGAATCGGCTATATGCTCATTGAGATCAATTTCCTTCATAATTGAGGTTCCTTGCAGTGGTGGAAATCTATTCTATAGGGCTTGTTTGGAATGGAGGAATGAAAAACAGAGGAAAGGAAGAAAACACAGGAATAGAAAACGAGTGTAGGTAGAAAAGAGGATTGGAAAAACACAGGAATTTTATAGGAATGGGTGTTTGGAACACAAGGAATACAAGAACATGTTTATTCCTCCATTCTAGTGAACAAGGGCTTGCTCATCTCTCCATTCACGTGTAGGAAAATTTTCCAAGAGCTTAGAGTTGAAGTTTTATTTCCTCCATTTCATGAAGGAAAGCAAGGAAAAGAAAACTTCATTCCTCCATTCCAAACACCATGTGATGTAAGCAAAACATAGGAATTGGATTCCTTGAAATTCCTATGAAATTCCTCTGATCCAAACAATGGCATGCCGGTTCAACGGATGTTCTCAGTGCCAAGTCACTTGATTGGCGAAATGATGAAAGCTTGACCTAGTAGTGGATTCGTAATGGGCTGGTGATGAGAGTCTATAAATTTACTAGATTCATTCATGGTGGCCTATGCAAAACCCATATTGTCTTCTATTCTTCTGAAAATTTAAGAGCTTGAGTCCTTCGTTTTTTTGTTTTGTCAATAGGAAACCTAATCCTAAAACTCATTTTAGTGTGAAGTGAAGTGAAACCTCAATAGAAAGACACACAGGCGTGGTATCGGAAGTCCGATGGAATGGCTGGCTGTGCAGATGGAGCAGATTTTTTGTTTTTAAGACAGAAATAAATCTTTCGGTAGGTTTAATTAAAGCTTACGCAGTCCGGGTTGCCCACCTTCCCTCCGTGGCTCAAGCAGCCCAGGAATTCCCTGTGCTGGCTATAGGCGCATTGCCCGTTCGACGCCTCGCACAGGTGACACCCATCCTCTGTGCCTGTGATACGGCTCCATTCCAACTCGAACCCACGCTTAAGCACGTCTCCGTATCCGCCGCTTGTGAAGTTGCTCTTGTTATAACTTGCTGCCATCAGAACATCGCCTCTCACTATCACGGTGACAACCATGGTGTTGCCGCACTTCGTAGCCAATTCTTGCTCCAGATACCTGTCATGCTCATCAGTCATAATGACCACGAAGGAGTCTCCTGGGCCAGCACCTGGCGGACTCTTGAACTGCGTGCAGTTGATTTTGTATGCTTCGAATTCAGGCGGCACGGGACCGCGTGGGTCGCAGCAGAAGAGGAAGGTGAGGTTGTCGTTGTAGCTGCTGCTATGCACACTAGTAGAGAACAGACCTTTGATCCTCGGTCAAAATGGGCTCTAGTCCCGGAATTTTTTGCGCCCGAGACTAGAAATACCTTTAGTCCCGGTTGGTGGCTCCAACCGGAACTAAAGGTCCCTGCCCAACGGCTAGTGCGCGATGAGAGGTGGCAGGGACCTTTAGTCCCGGTTGGAGCCACCAACCAACCTGACTAAAGGTATACTTTACTCGGTTGGTGGCTCCAACCGGGAGTAAAGGTCTACTCTCGGGCCGTGGCTGCGCCGGGGTTGGAAAGTTACTTTTAGTCCCGGTTGGAGCCACCAACCGGGACTAAAGGTCCCCCTTTATATCCCGGCCGTCTCCTTCTTCCTCCCGAGCCCGAGCTCAGCACATTTTGAAGCTCACTGCACTAGTGTTCTTGCTTCCTCCCTCCCTCCATTGTTCCTCCATCCATTATTCGATTCCTCCGTCGATTTCTTCGATTCCTCCGTCGATTCTTCAGTTGTAAAGGTTACCAATCTCATACTCTCATTTTTCACCATTGTCTTATCTCATTTTGTTCAATATATATATATATATATATATATATATATATATATATATATATATATATATATATATATATATATATATATATATATATATATTTTTTTTCATTTGTTTTTTTTCATTTTGCAATTTGAGCTCAAAATCACTTCAAGCTTGCATATTTACATGAAATAAGGTTAAAGTAGCTAGTTGAACTTGCGGACCGTGTTCATCTCGGCGAGCATGTTCTCTGCCGAGCGGTAACGGACGTCAAGGAGGAGCTTTGATTCTACGAGGGAGAGCGGCAACGGTCGTGGAAGACCATGTTCCCTTCCTCGTAGAAACGGAGCTCTTCCGTGGCCAAGTACGGTGCCGTCCGGTGGAGAAATGCTCGCCGAGATGATCACGTAAGCAAGTTCAACTAGTACGGATGGTTATTTATTCATATGTCCCGATATCGTCGCAGTAGTCTGTCAATCACCGTACCCAAACGTAGTATATATATAAATATAAACTTAGAAAATAGTTAGAAAATTATAGAAAATTCGTACTAGTTGAACTTGCGGACCGTGTTCATCTCGGCGAGCATGTTCTCTGTCGAGCGGTAACGGACGTCAAGGAGGAGCTTTGATTCTACGAGGGAGAGCGGCAACGGTCGTGGAAGACCGTGTTCCCTTACTCGTAGAATCGGAGCTCTTCCGTGGCCAAGTACGGTGCCGTCCGGTGGAGAAATGCTCGCCGAGATGATCACGTAAGGAAGTTCAACTAGTATGGATGGTTATTTATTCATATGTCCCAATATCGTCGCAGTAGTCTATCAATCACTATACCCAAACGTAGTATATATATAAATATAAACTTAGAAAATAGTTAGAAAATTATAGAAAATCCGTACTAGTTGAACTTGCGGACCGTGTTCATCTCGGCGAGCATGTTCTCTGCCGAGCGGTAACGGACGTCAAGGAGGAGCTTTGATTCTACGAGGGAGAGCGGCAACGGTCGTGGAAGACCATGTTCCCTTCCTCGTAGAATCGGAGCTCTTCCTTGACCAAGTACGGTGCCGTTCGGTGGAGAAATGCTCGCCGAGATGATCACGTAAGCAAGGTCAACTAGTACGGATAGTTATTTATTCACATGTCCTGATATCGTCGCAGTAGTCTATCAATCACCATACCCAAACGTAGTATATATATAAATATAAACTTAGAAAATAGTTAGAAAATTATAGAAAATCCATACTAGTTGAACTTGCGGACCGTGTTCATCTCGGCGAGCATGTTTTCTCGCCGAAAGCGGTGGCGACGCGTCAAGGAGGAGCTTTGATTCTACGAGGGGGCGGCAGCGGTCGTGAAAGACCGTGTTCCTTCCTCATAGAATTGGAGCTCTTCCGCAAGGGAAATCTGGTGCCGTCCGGTGGAGAAATGCTCGCCGAGATGATCACGCAAGCAAGGTCAACTCTGGATGGTTATTTATTCACACGTCCCGATATCGCCGCAGATGATGCATGTGTGTACACTCCCATTCTTACGTTAATTTGCGGAAATATCATGTGAATTACTTACCGCCGCAATAAAAAGCGAGAACACAATGACCATTAACAATATCATTGTTTAGAGATCTAGATAATTTTATAGTTTCTTAATTTTATTTGTTTATAAAAGGAGAAATTTATATTGTATTAAAAAATGAGTATAGAGAGTAGATGGCAATCGCTGCTTAGGGTCCTCGGCCTCTCATGGGTTTCCAAAGCGACTTAGGCGGGCCTCCCTCTCATTCCATGCGGCAAGTGTCGTGATGAGACGAAGATTGTGATGGAGTACCGAGTGAAGAAGGAGGGTCCCAACAAGGATCGTATCTTCTACAAGTGTCCGGATCGCAATGTGAGTTATTTTATCGTATTTAATGATTATGGTTAGTTTATACCTATTTTCATGATGGTTGTGATTAAAGTTCTAATTTTTGTTTTAATTTCAATTGGGATGGCGGTGGATGATGTTCAGGATTCTCTTTGGGAGGAAGAGTATGTTGAACTCGTGCAAAAATATCTTCTTGCAACAACAGAGATCTGACTAATGAGGCAAAGTGATCCGGCCGAAGAAGCCCAAAGATGTTGCACAATCGGGGGATCTGTCTGTTTTAGTTGAGATTGGTCGTGAAATCCTAGTCCTACTGAAATATATTTTAGCTTTAGTTCTTTTAGTGGTAGTTGGGATTGTCTACATTGTAGCGATGCTTTCATAAATTTATATCTTTTGTGGTGGCACGCATGTTGTATAAATAATTAATTATGATCTAGGTTTTAATATGGTATTTATGTCATGTAATGCAGATGAGCCGTCATTGGATGTATAATGCTGATCGCCGCTCCCAAGAGTTCATTGACGGCGTGCATTCTTTGTTACGTGCGGCCGAGGCAAACAAACACGACGGTTTCATGTGCTGCCCATGTGCCATATGTAAGAATACGGTGGAATATCCTTGCTCAAGGACTTTTCATTCACATTTGTTCAAGTCGGGTTTCATGCCAAACTATATTTGTTGGATAAAGCACGGAGAAATCAGTGTTGTAATGGAAGAAGGTGAAGAAGAACAATGGGACGACAATGATATTATTCCCGATGGTGCGTGCTTCAATGATACTGCAATGGGAGAAGCTGAAGAAGAGGTAGCCGCAGAAGATGAGCTGGCTGATGATCTTTCTCAGGTCATTCGTGACGCACAAAGAGAATGTGAAAGTGAAAAGGAGAAGATCAAGTTCGAGCGGATGCTAGAAGATCACAAGAAATTGTTGTACCCAACTTGTGATGCAGGGCAGAAAAAGTTGGGAACCACACTAGAATTGCTGCAATGGAAGGGAAAGAATGGTGTATCTAACAAGGGATTTGGAGAGTTACTAAAAATTCAAAAGAAGATGCTTCCGAAGGACAATGAATTGCCCGCCACTACCTACGAAGCAAAACAAGTTGTCTGTCCTATGGGGCTAGAAATAGAGAAGATACATGCATGTCCTAATGACTGCATCCTGTACCGTGGCAAAGAGTACGAGAAATTGGATGCATGCCCGGTATG